TCCTTGGAATCTAGAGATCATCTGGTATTTCACTATGTTCCTGAGCTTTTCTTGGAAATCAATGCTTTTATTAAAAAGAAAGCAACCAAACAAAACCCCAACTACAACAAACAAAACCCCACACAGATTGAGATACCCTGGGAAAAAATGCACATTCTTAGGACTGGTTGTTGTACAACTTGGACAGGCACCTGCAAAACATGCAAGTCTCATCAGAGCCCAAGTACTGATACAGGTGAGTTTGTTTGGCTCCCTTTGGTACCTCACACTGCCAAATTTTCATTAATTAGGTTGTCACAGTAATTGTCTGTGGTACCTGGATGAAGCAGAGACCTGAGGTGACCTTTAAAGGCTGGGAGTGACTTCAGTAATGTGATCACACCACTAAAAGCACGTGCTGGTTCTCTGCTTTCACCTGCTGCCCTTTCAAAGCAGTGCAAGTTCTTTAACAGGTTTCCCCCCTCCCTTTTATGATAACCCAGAGTCTAAAGCTTGGTGCAGACGAGAGACTTGTGAGTAGATTGATGCATAAACTACAAAGCTTTGGGTTTTTTTTTTTGCAAAAGTGCCAAACCCTCAAATGCCCTTGTGTATGAGCATCAGGTGTCACTGGGGACAGTCCCTCCCACACCAGCTCACAGCACATTATAACACAGGAGCTGCTTTAAAATAAAAGACAACCATGCAACAAACTTGCCTGTTCTAACAGCAGAAGAATAATTCACGGAACTCTTGGACTTTCCAATGCTTTGTCTAGGCTTCTGTTTCATCTGCTTGTGTTCCTTGACTCATGCAAATGCCAGTATGAAAATCACCCTTATAAACATGGCCCTCTAAGCATTTGTGGGTTTTACTGTGCATTCTGAACAAGCTTTTTGATATTTTCATTTTACAACCAATTAATGAAAGCCCACTCTGAGCCATAAAGAGGAAATAATGTCAGGTTCTGACAGATGTTTTGCATGCATTCTGCATTTATTACAATGTTTTCACTGTAAAGTTGGAAAGAGAAACTGCAAATAAGGTTTTGTTTATCCATTGCACCTTAAAAATATATCTTGGGGAGCCCTCAGGAAAATAAATGAAAAATCATCCCAGGCATTGAAAACAAAGTTCCTAGAAGTTACAGAAGTCTCCAGCACTCCTGCCCAAAAGAACAAGCAATTGTGTTCTTTCCTGATGCTCTTACTTCTTTTTCTACAATCTCTTTAAACCTGGGATGTAAAATATCTATTACCATTTTTCCACTTACTACACTGGATGTCCTTTGCCTTGTGTTCCCTGGATTTCCCTGCAGGAATCAGGAGCTGGATGACTGTCACCAGAACCTTCTGCAGAGGCTCCTCTGTGGCTTTATCCCCATGATTATTGCTTGCAATGGTCTCATTAGGCTGTTTTGTCCCCAGCTACAATAGGAAGGTGGCTTTTATGCTTTCCCTGTTTAGAAATGACCTCTTTGTCTAATCCATAAAACTCTTTCTTCCCTTAAACATTCTTCTTTTAAAAAGCTGTTATTATGGCAGCAATAATAGTAAGTAAGAACAGTGATGAAATTAAAGCCTTGCATTAGACAAATACAAAAGCATCACAGTAGTGAGGAATCAAATACAGAGAGTGTGTTTGGAATTACCTTGCTCTTCCTTTTGCCAAAAACTAAGCCCGTATCAGTGCAGAAAAACTGAGGACAATAACTAACCTGCAAAAACTAGAAATGAACCTCACTCCCTTGTGCATTTAGCTATTAAAAAAAGAGATTTAAAAGCCACAGTGGAACTCCACTAAAGAGTCAAGGAACAAAGCACATGAGAGCTAGAGAATGACAAGATCATTGATAGCTTGAGGGAAACTCTGAGAACTTAGAAACGGAAAGAAAGTGTTGTGAAAATTAAGCAATTCTAATTCATCCAGTCGTGGGGAACAAGTGCCTTCTGCAGGGTATTAATACAGACTGAACTGGTTTCTTTTTGGATTACAAAATTATGTAAAACTACTGAGCACAACTGCTACGAAACTAAAAATAATGCATATATCTGATTAACAATATAGTTGAAAGGTCTAGAAATTCCAGAGCTGTGAAGGCTGTGACAGCCTTTGTGATCATCTGTTCTAATAATCACAAGCTATAAAACTTCACCCTGTAATTTCCACACCCAAGTCAGTTAAAGGGGCCGAATTTGTGGCCTGTCATAACTTGGTGGGATGGAAGAGTTGATAGAAATTTATTTCGAAACAAAGATTACTTTTATAGCCTGTCAGGAAGAATTAATTTCACAAGATCCCTGCAATCTTTCTCCTCTTTCTGTAATTCATATTTTGTGGTCAGTACACAAAGCAAAGCAAAATGGTTTCTGGGCATTTTAAAGTCAGGCCATGTTTGGAAAGCTGAGGTATAGATTTGCTTCCTCTCTCCCAATCCTGTGACTTGAAATCCATCTGGAATGGCCTCCTTATCCAATGTCCTTACACACAGCCCTTCCATAGTGTTGGTGCTGCTCTGCTGTGGGGGTAACATTTCCCTTGGCTGCATTATTGCTTCTTTACCTGCCTTGGGGACAAATTTACACAGACCTTCCTTATGGATTTTCTGCCACCTATTAGAATAGGGAATGTAACTCCATTTGCTTTATGCATATTGTCTCTCTCATTTGGATTCAGGTGCCCTTCACTCCTTAAGAGCAGGGTCAGCTCTTTAACAGAGGAAAAGTGCAAGACTGTACTTCCCAATCCAAAGGGGATGGGATCCAGGTGGTCATCCTTGCTGGATTACACATGGCCCTTGTAGAGCTCATAATGGTTTCATAAGAATGCAAATACAACTCTATATGACTTTATAAAGCCACATTGCACACAACTGTTGTACAGCTAAAGCTACTTCTTTCTCCTTACAATGTTACATGCCCACCTCTGCCAGAAATTTAGCACATGCCAACCAAAACCTCTCCCCAAAATTCCTAGGGTGTCAGCTGGTTTCTAGCTTCCTTTCCTAAGAATTAACTCCCCCAGGTGCTGAAGTGAGCCACATTAACAAGAAGGATACACCAGAGAAGATCTACTGCCTTCCTGTGCATGGACACAGGCAGGGGGGAAACAGGGGAGCCTGGAAGGTGCGTTTTTTCCCTGCTCCAGCCCCACAGAGGCAGGCAGAGAACCGTGGGTGGGGGAGTCCCTTTTCCCAGCTAGCAAGTGACAGGACGAGAGGAATCGTCCTTAAATTGCACCACAGGATGTTTGGATTGGATATTAGGAAAAAATTTTTCCATGAAAGGGTTGTCAAGCACTGGAACAGGCTGTCCAAGGAAGTCATGGATACACCATCCCTGGAGGGATTTAAAAGAGGAGTAGATTTGGAATCTGGGACCTGGTTTAGTGTGGCCTCAGCAGTGCTGGGTTAACAGTTGGACTTGACCATCTTAAGGGTCTTTTCCAACTCAAATGACTCTGTGATTCCATTCTATGTGAACAAGGGGATGGACTGGGATAGATTATTAGAGCTTAATGACCCCTTGATTAATTTGTTGTTGACATTTACTCCAAGGAGGCAACAGAACAGAGGGGAGAGCCATAAGCAAAGGGAAGGCTGTCTCTGGAGACTGGCTGGGTTTGGTGTTTTCAGTGCTTTCAGTGGTTATGCTAAACAGCTGTTTCATTATTTATGTAAAAAGCAGTAGCACATGAAGGCTGGGATTCTTGGAAGGAAATCTTTTTTCTTTTCTTAAAGACATGCCTCTGGATTCCTGCAAGTGATATTTACATCCTTAAGGGATTTCCTCAAATGCCTTCCCATGCCAATCTGCTTTCCATAAAGCCCCGATGGGATGAACCACTCAATTACAGCAGGTCACTGGAGTGATGTAATGACAGTGTCAGGGACAGACACTCACACAAGGCAGTTCCATCTCATACAGGCAGAAAAACTGTAGTGATCTCAGCTGATTTCTATGATTTTGTGAAATTGTAGATACCAAAGTGAAACACAGTCTTGAACTTTCATGCAATATTAATTTACACCTTCAAACTGTAACTTCTGTGTATGGTACAATTAATTCCTCGACCAGAGTAAAAGCCCTCATTAGATGTGCTGTGTCACAAAAATTTCTGTATCATCTAAGGAATCAAATCCCCAGTGAAGAAATTCATACAGTGCATTACACCATAATGCACAAAGAAATCAGATGTTTCTTACAAAAACTTTAAATCACAATCCTTTTACATCATGTGCAACTCATGGACTCTCCTGACTAAAGGTGGTAGTTTAATAGTAATGCTTGGACTTGGACTTGGGCCTGTTCTTGCTTCACCTTTTCTTCTACACTATGGATGCATCTCCACCAGGGGTTTAGTTCAGATCAGGGTTACAATTTCAAAGCAAAGCTCCTGATTGTCTCCCCTCACCATGCCTTGGTTTGTGGTACAAAACAGTTGAGGAGTATGAGAACTAATTCCCTCAGGAGTGAAAGAAGCCATGTGAATTTTGGAATGAGTGTGGATATATCTAGAAAGGTGAGTTCCAGAACACTGATGCTGTTGGGCTGAGTTGCCTTTTTCAACTCTGCACATCAAGCATTACTGAAACCCAACCCTGTGGTGTCCCTGAAGGGGAGTAAATCCGATCCATGTATTCCTGAGGCTGGGAGGAGAAGCTGAATGCAATGGCCCATCCTGACAACAGCACAGCACCGGCAGGACAACTGATGGAAAGCCTGACTTCTGCTCCCCTCCCTCCTGCAGCAGGACATGGAACTGGAATGCCAGTGAATGAGAACTGTTGCTAACTGAGCTCCAGCTCAGAGGGCCCAAAGTCCTTTGGATGCCCCAGCACTGAAGGAACAGTTTCTGGTTTCACACCCCCTTTGATGCTCTATTTGCAGCTCTGAGGGATGGCTGCTGTGATGTGCCCGCTGCCCATCCCCTGGCTCGCTCAGGAATTCACAGTGCCACTGCTGTGGCTATAGAATACCTTAAATATTGGCCACACGGTCTCCACTGAGCACTTAAAGCGAGTCTGCAGTGTACTGTAGTAAAGCAAACAGCTGCACCCTGCACAGAACAGTTCAGAGCTCCAAATGAAATACTGGAATGATCTCTCCAGTGCATCCAGCTTTATTGCACAGAGAGATGAGTCCATGAAGACTGTATACACAGAAGCATTATTTTTTGATGGAAGTATAGTACTTAGCTTTTAGAAAAGCAGTGCTGACTGGTTTTCCTGTGCTCCACTTGTGAGCACCGTGTACCCAGCTGTCCCTTTTCCACAGCTTTATGTATCATTCCATGTATTATTGATACTAGGGAAAGGCAGAGCCACACAGGAGTCAGAACTCGTTTACATTTCAGTTATGTGGTACAGCTATTGATGCTATTGTGTCAAAGGTATTTCTGTTTATTCAGCACTCTTAGGACCCATGGAGAATGCAAATAAATTAAAAAAAAAAATGAAGCTTCAATTAAAAGAGTTGTGATATTTCCCCCAAAATATATTACAGTTCTATATTGATTTAATGGCCTGTTACTTTTAAAGTGACTGCTTTTAAAACAGTTGCACACAGTTGCCTTTATCACTACAAAAGCACTGTCAAGTGTAGAAGTACGGAATTAGTGCACTTATGTTAAAGAAAATTAAGGCAGAATGCCCATCTCCTTAACTTTATGTTCCCTTAATAGACACTCATTCTTCATCTTTTTCCTTTCAAATGTAAGAAAGCTTGAAAGACTTAAACCAGGTTTCGTTTAATAAGAGAAAATAAGAAGCCTGCCACACAGAAAATTACTAAATTATGCTCAGTTTAGGGGTTCCACTCTTCTCTTTTGCCTCAGGCTTTTGGGACATTAAGGCCACGTTATAAATCCTGGTCAGTGCTTTTTTCTAAAGAGCAGAAATGAGAGTTTATTAGCATCACAGTGGTTGCCTCAATAATGACAAAACAGTTGCTCATTACTGCTCATTAGATTCATATTAGATTCATTTGCAACAGCAATACATCTTCTATTCGTCCTCGATTGCAAAACAACAGATATGATTTGACACCTGCTGTAGTACAGAATTCATTAGAAAGTAATGACACAAATACGATTTCAATGGATGGACTTAGTCTTCTGCCCAGATCTGATGGGTCTAAAATTTGTCATTTAATGTAGAATTTATATAGGATAAATACCCCAGCAGGCAACCAGCTCCTTTAAATCATGTGCTCCAATAAAATATCACACCCAGAAGCAGAGGAGCCAAGAGCAGACACACAAACAAACAAGCAAATTCACAGGACCCTCTGCAGTAGCATACATTAACTGTGGCTGTTGATATCCCTAATATGGAAGTTAGTTACTAATTTTTAAAGTCACAGAAAAGTGCAAAAAAGTTACATTTTCATCAAAATATTAAGGCAACGAGTAAACAGGTCCCATTTTCCCTTGAAAACTTCTGGGACAAACTGAGCCCAGGATGTTACTGGAACACTAGTTAAATGCCATTGCCTTAATTTACTGGAATAGCCATTATTGTATCTCTACACTTTGGAAGCACCAAACTAATAACAGTGCTTAAATTGGCTGAAATCACTTCTTTTCCTAGAAAATCCTATGGGGAAAAAACAAAATTATCTCAAAACTCATCAGTTCTTGCCCTTTTCTCCTGTGCAAGGGATGAAAGTATATGCAAGTAATAGGTGTTCACATCATGAAGCAGAGAAAGATGGGCTGATTGCAAAATCTAGCCCTGAATACCCTAAAATATTATCATATCTACCTATAATACACATCATAATACCTTCAGCCTTGTTATTACCTTTCTGAAGGTACAAAACAAATATCCTGTTTCTGTTCTCTGCCCAGCTCTCCATCCAACTATCAAGTTAATTAATCCCCTACCACTTACTGTTTATGCAAAGGGGTTTCTGGGTGTTCCTACCCCTCGACACACCTGACATCTGAAAAACCAGAGAATTCTGCTTACTCTGCCTCTGGCAAGAAATTTCTTCACAGTTTCTTATCAAATCTGTTTCTTACAAGAACTGCTCTCCAGCAGAAGAGTTGCTCTTCCACTCCATAATCTAGCTCTGCTTTTCACAGAAAAACTGGATGTGATCACTGCCCTCTGCATTGGTTGAGACAACTTCTGTGATTTAACACTTACAGAGTGGACAGGACTGTAAAGGTGAATTCTCAGTGAAAGACTACCAAAAATGTATTCTGAATTTCATCATAAAAATATCTGATTTGATACAACCTAGAATCAGGTCTGACTTTCCTTCAGACATCTAAAGTCCCGTTACCTGCTCACGGTCATCCTGTGATTCTCCTCTTCTTCCTCCATACCAGCAGTTTCAAGAAGCAAAGCCATAAGTTTTGTACCATGAAATTCTGTTTTGTTTCTCTTACACCAGTACTCCAGTGCCTCACAACTTTATTCTTCAGCAAATTGTTTAAGGACACATCTATTTTGGTTTTGTTGCTCATGAAATCAGTAATACTGAATGACACAGGTCCTGAGGTAGATCCCTTGGAAACTGGTAACCTCTCTGTCATTTGCTATTTCCCCTTTCAGTTTATTACTCCTTGCCCACTGTTTCAAACTTTTTTGCACTTATTCACACATTCTCCAGCTTAATTAATAGTTTCCCATGTAACTCTGCATTAAACACCTTGAAGTCCAAATGAATTGGTTCTATCACACTTCTCTTGTCTAGTTTTCTTAGCAAAGATAGATACCAAGTTATTTTGGCACGATGCAAAGCAGCAGTGCCTTTTATTCCACTTTCCAGTTATCATGATGGACTATGATTATTCTTTCTGCCAAAATTAGTTCTAAAGCTGCAAAGTTTTGAAGTCAGGTTACCAGACTTTTAGTGGCTTATGTCACAGCCCTTTCTTAATTGTAAGTATTTCCTGTATGGCAATGTGTGATACTGGACATATATATCTCCTTTGGTTCTAATAAACTATGGAATGGAAGTTGTCATCTTGCCTCTTGACTGGTGTCACCTGGCACAAACCACTCAAAATATGTATTAAACAGAAAGACTGCTGATAACACAGGGTTTATAAAAGGCATCCTTTAGCTAAGTGGGCACTGTTTTCTCAGGAATTACAGGAACTATTTAAAGGCTATTTCAGTGTGTGATCTCGTATCCCTGCTCTTTATAGAGCAGAATTCAGGAAAAAATCACATACAATTCAATATAATTAAAAACAACACACCTGCCTTGGTTCAGCCAACCATTAGAACAGCAGCTCCAAGCCTGGATTTTCAAGAGTCACTATAAATGCAAATCAAAAGAGAAAAATAAATTAATTGAAGTGAACCCTCACTTGACTAAGACAACTGCTTTTAAAAATCAGCTGTTAGGAAAATTCCTTGCCTGATTATTGAAGAAATCAGAGCCCCAGACACTGAATCCCAAACCACCAAATTATCCCGTGTCTTCTCTTCCACTGTGATTCTGCTCATGGAATTGACCCCATGGCAGTGGGTAGTGGAGCACCATCAGGCCAGGACAGTGCCTTGCTTTCCTGGGAATGCTGGACACGTGACACAGCACTATTTTATCAGGCATATCATACACTGGATTTGTCACTTCACCGCTGTTTTTAACGAAAAAAACTCCCAAACACACCCCAAAACCAAACCACAACAACAAACTGAAAGGAGTCTTAACGGTCGTTAAAATCAACAGCCTTCTGATCTCTCCTGGGAAAGAAGGCATTGGCACCCTGCCTCCTTCCTTCTGGATGGGATCTGAGACTAACAATGCAAATATATTAATATTGCATGGTCAGGGCTACTTTCTATTAATATGCCATTAATAAAACAACCTTTGCACTACATTTAAAGATCATGAAGATCAATATTTATTCTGAGGTCAGGGGAAAAAAAAAATCAATCTTGCAGTAAAACGAGTCATATTTAATATATCCCCTCATCATAATTAAGTTTATACATAAAAAGTAGCATTGATATGTGAATAATGAATGCTATGACAGATGAGTTCCCCTTCTTGAACAACTTCATGTGGTTAATCTCAGAAATGGAAAGACTGAAGTGATTATATGCACCTTCTCCCTGAGTGCTTTGCCAAATTCCTCTTGGCTTCTCTAAACCTTTTCACACACACTGCAAAAGAAGTTACTGCTTCTTGTTGACCACGAACACTGGTGTGCTACTACTAATGTTCCTGTAATCTCTTTATCCCATTCCAGAGAATCTCAGTGCCTCCAACCAAGCCACCCAGAGTGCTTCAAATGGATAAAACGACACAAAAATGAAATTATTCATATAAAGTCAGTCAGTAGCAGAGCCAGGATTAGGACTCCAGGAATTAGTCCCATAAGGGAAATCATTCCTGATCCCCCTCTGCTCCAGCCACTAGACATCCTGCTCTCCCTGCAAACACAAGCCATTCCCAGAGCAGCAATAAACTTAGATCACCTCTTCACACATTTCTGAAAGTAAACATGGAAAACACTTTTCCTTCAGTGCTCAGAAATAAGTGCTTTCTAAAGGCACGAGCAAGAAAACCCCTGACACCCAACAGATAAGGAACACAGCCAGGGTCTGACTGTCTTTTCAGCTACAGTGACAGGAACAGGGAGTCACATCTCATCCCAACAGCTATGAAAATGAGGAAAGCAGGAACAGGCTCGGGGACAGGAATCCCGGCCCTGGCTGGGCAGATTCTGTAGCTCATTCAAAAGCCACACATCCCTTACTTGCTTCAGGGCTTTTGGTGCTTCTGTTGCCAGGTTTGCCCTTGTTGTATTGATGCCCTGATCTGGTTAGTTCAGAACTGGGGCTCAATTCCATGAGGTAGCAGGGGGAGTGTTAAAGGAGACTGGGTACACAAATTCCAGAGGCTAAAGTGCCCCCTCTAGAAGTGTGGGAGTCATTCATTCAGGCTACTTTACACTAAAGCAGATGTCACCTATTGCCATCGTCATCTCCTGTACTTTACCAGCACTTTTCAAATAATTCCTAGTATTGTATTTCAGATGAAACTCCCAAGATTTCCAATCTTCTGTATTGTCTTTAAAGAGAGGAGTATTTTCTTACCTGCCTTTTAAGAGTCTCAGCTGTTTTCCTCCGCTCTGTTTAACATGTAAAAGCCTTTAATACTTTGAACTTACCACGAGATGCAAACTACAAGAAGTGTCTACATGAAAAACCTTAATCAGTCAGGAAGTTGGTAAATGATGTCTCCATGCCATCCATATTGAGTGTCCATTACTCCTGGACATAGCACATTAACTGACTCATTAGCTATTGCAAACCATATGGACTTAGGTTTGGGTGGGTTGCTCTCATAATATCCTGAGGTGAGCTGCCTAATTATTGTAATTAGGTGATCTCAATCAGGGGGCCAGTCACACCAAATGGAGTCAGGAGTCTCTGAAATGGGTGTCAGCGCACCCAGACAATGACTGAGCTGAGCAACATGGCCCCTGGATGTTGGAGATCCCCTGATACTGCAAAAAGTAATCACTTCCAAAGTTCTGAGGAAGTGGCAGCGAGCACAGTGACAATGGAACAGGCACAGCCAGAGCAGATGCACCAACACAAATAGTTTTCTCAGCAGAAACTGGGAAACTTGATGCCTGGCTGTCAATGGTCTTAATACAGAGATGTTACATCTCTAGAGTAAATTTAGCCATGATATTTTAAGCAACAGTGAGGTCTGGAGAAGGGGGGCTGGGAATTAAATGTGGAAGGCCTAAAATGTCAGCGTTAAATACCACAAAAGCATCACAATGCAACAGTGAGAGAAGCTACAAGTGCTCACCTCCTGCAGCAAATTTGAGGGGCTTTGAGTATGTGATACTGCAAGATTTCATATAATTGACTGCAACAGTCTATATTCAAGCTTGGGTTTGAGCAGTGAGAAGAAAAAAAGATTAAAATAAAGGGAAGATGGACTGAATGTTCAACGCAGAGTGCTTTAAAACAAAGACAGAAACAAATTTATCCTGCACACAGGATAAATCCTCCAGGGCAGGGCCTGTGGCCTTCAGCTGTTTGCAGCAATGTGCCAACTGGAAGTCAAATAACAGCAATCTGATAGCATTTTTGGTTGATACTGGTAGGATTTGTATACTTTCACTCTTATTAGAATACACACCTTTCTCCTGTAAGGATTCTTGAGTCTGGCAGTAGTGGTGGCTGTATGACCTTGAAGGGAAATTGCTTCTGTAATAATTAGGCTTTCCTGAAAGAAACAAAACCAAGCAAAAAAACTACCCTGGTATCTATAATTATTTTGGCCCTTTTTGCCCCCTACATAACCTAATTTGCTAATTTGTAGCAACTTTGAAGGCAACAGAGGCTTTAACGTGCCTAAATGAGGCTCACGTTTTTTGGGAGGGTTGCTAATGCCCTGCTGAGCAGGGCAGGGCAGGAGAAAAAAGCCTTCTGTCCAGTTCAGCCCAACAGAAAAAGAGAATTCCTTAGTCCCACCCACAGACACAGGGATGTGCTATTTATAGGGCCAAAGGGCCTGCTATCAACTTCTAATCTGGTTAGAGCCTTTCTCAGGTAAAGCCTTGGGGCTGTTGATTTTTAAAAACATGTATGTGGGAATTTTGTGTTTTGCAGTGTCCAAAATGGACTTGTAAAATACTTGCTAGGAACATTGGTGTACTACTTTTTGTGGGCCTACTAGTTACTGTTATTTATTAATAAAGATCTGGATTTAAATAATAAACTGATTCTTTGGGAGTGGTCTGGTATGTGAAGGAAACTTTTCTTTTTAGTATTTTTTTTTTAATGAGTGATATTATTAGTCTCTATTGCATTCCTGTGCAATTGCCTCTAAGGGTTTTGAACTCTTGTAATGAATGATAAAACCTTGAAAATCTTTAACTTCATACCTATTCTCTTTCAAAAAAAACCCCAAACAAACCCCAAACAATCCAACAACCCCACAGTTATTTTCCATGACTTGTAGCATACATACCTTGAACCCTTTTGTACGACAGAATGTTACACTGTGTGAGCTGTGAAGGAGCTGCAAGTTATCAAGGATGGCTCAGGCTTCAGGTATTCTTCCATCTGGATGAAGTTGGAGCTGTAAATTTGCAGTTTCTTTTACTAGGACAAGAAAACTTTTATTTAAAAACCTTAACTACCTCTGCAGGTGTATGTTGTGGGAGTCAAAGGGATGTCATGTGGTCTTGTTGCCTAAAAATGGAAGAAAAGAACTTTCTGGACAATATTAATATAGATAAAGACTTCAGTTTTCAAAACCAGTAACAGATTGCATTATTCTACTGTATCCATTAGCAACTAAATAGACCCCTGTGCACCTATTTTTACTTTTAGTTTGGCTATTAGCTTATAATGGCTATTTTTGAAATAGCCTTTTTTTGATTACTTCATTATTCCTCAGAACTGCATGAACTTGTTTTCTTCTTTTGTGATCTTGCTCATGAATAAAAAGAGCTAAATGAGCTCAAAACAACTCATATTTACAAGCTGGGAAGTTTTGCATTGAGCCCCAACCTCTCATTAAATCAATGTGTCCTACTAATTTGCTGATGTTAAAGTATTCTCAGTGGTTTTGTGGGGACAAAAGGCAATTCCAGTTCCAACATACTTACAAATAAAACAAAAATAGGAATATCTAATCAGTTCTGTTTCCTTAGGATCATGTCTCTTACTATTCATTCATACTCATTCTATTTTTTTTCTCCATACAATTTCTACAAATTTTGAGTCTTTTAATTTATGGTGTTTTCTCCTGGATCAAAAAAAAAAAAACCAACCCAACAACAAACTGTCTTGAGATACGTAACAATGTAGATGTCTGCTTGCAATGTAATACTATCCCTGGTATCTGCTAGATGTCTGGATGACAAAATAAACCACATCTGATTTGTTTTACTTTCTTATTCTGGTGAAATTTTGTGGGCAGGGAAAAAAACTCGGAAGCAGGAAGACCCCCAATACACTTTTGTTTCAGTTTAATCATGTGTACACCTCTTTGCAATAGCTGAGCAAAAAAAGCTGTTTCCTTAAACAGAGGCTTATCCTCTGATTCCCAGGCAAGTATTTAGAGACAATTTACTTCTGAAAATATTCTTCACCCCTGGTAGAATAGTGGTTTCACCCCAGGTAACAGATACCCCAAGCACTGCTCAAATTGAATAAAAGTGTGAATTCTCTCCATAAGTGGTGATGGTTTCTTTGATGCTGGACTGGGCATCTGTAGTTGTTTGTTTCTTTTAAATAAACAAAACAACCCCAACGCCACTCTCTTACAGTCTGTTTTGACAGCTGTTGGTAAAAGGGGAAACCCTATAAAATGCTTTATGGCAATCTTGAATTTGTCCCCTTTATGGCCGAGCTTTCTGCTCGGCAATTTTTGAGCTGGTCCTTTCACTGATGATAAAACCACAAAGCCTGCAAGACTGACAAAGCAGAAAAGGTTGTTACATTAAGGCTTAATGTACTGGCAGCAACACAGACTTTGCAGTCATAATCTGTGTCACTACTTTTAAGTTCACTTGCAAATTATGGGGTTGCTGAAGAAGTTCTGGATTTTGGTTATTCTGGAACTTTTTTTAAAACTTTCCTTTTTAAAAAATGACTTAGAAGTTTAAGTTTTAAACCTCTCTTTTTTTTTTTTTCTCTCAAAAGGACCTGTCACTATGTTGTGGTGGCCCCCAGTGACCACCACCTGGGGGAACGGGCCCTGACAATACAGCAAAGCTGACACAAAATGGCGGCTTGTGCTCAAGATGGCGGCTTGTTTCCCTGGGATCTTGGGGAATTAAACCCCACCTCACTGTGTCCTTTATTGCCAAGGTGATGGGGCTGATCCACCCCTGGGTCAGATGTATGTCTCCTGGAGCAGTGGCTGACCCACCTGAGGTGGCCATTGCCCCTTCCCTGTGCTATTTTGGGGTACCTGTGTTTCTGTGTGTAAATCGTGATCCCTGTCCTCTGCCAGGAAGATCCTGAGGTAAAATCGAAGTGGCCTGAGGGGTGGCACCATGTCAGCTCTGTGACTTCACTGCACCTCCTGAAGGGTTTTGCTGCACCTCAAAACCCCTGTGAGCTGAGGTACTTTTTTTACCTCAGTCAGGAAAAAAAAGGAAAGAAAAAGTTTCTAACTTGCAAAACCCAGATTAAAAAAGCTGGAGAGCTGGAGCACCCGAGGCTGAGGCGGCTTTGTGTGCCCTATCCGTCTACTCCCTCTCCCTGCTGTTCCGTCTCCGATCTCCCATCTCCCTTCTCCATCTCCCTTTTCCTCACCCCTGAGGCGAGAAGCCGGAGCCTCTGGCTGAGCGGCTTGGCAGGTCCACTCCTCCTCCATCACCTCCCTGATAGGAGCCGCGACGCTTGGGGCTGAAGCAGCTTCGAGGCGCCATCTCCTTGCTCCTCCCCATCCCCTGTTGTTTCCGTCTCCCAACTCCAGCTCCAAACTCCCTCGCCTCCATCTCCCCCACTGCTTGACTCCCAACAAAGCAGCTCCTTCGCTGCTTCCATCCCCCGTAGCTCCGTCGCCTGAGGCGTAGGCGTTTGGTGCCTCACGGCGGCTGAAGGAGGCCGGGGAAATGGCGCGCGCTCCGCCCCGCTGGGCCCTGAGGCACGGCGAGTCCCGTCCCGGCCTTGGCTGCCTGGGTGTCCCGCCCTCCCCGCGTCCCCGCCAGCGGTTTCCCGCGAACACGCATCCCGCCGCCGCTCCTCATCCTGCTGCTGCTGCGGAAGTTCCGGCGGAAGTTTGCGGCCGGCGGCGGCGGGAAGCCGAGGGCGCTCTGCGGAGGTGCGTGAGGGGGAGCGGGACTGAGGGGCAGCGCCTCGCGCCCCCGCTGCGCTCTGCGGGCAAAGCCCATCGGGGTAGAGTGCATCTTCTGGCAACTTTTTCTCAACCTACTTTCTCTTTCATTTTCTCCCCCTCTCAAGGTACGATGCCGCCCAAGGGTCCCGGCAAAGGCAAGCTGCCAGTCCCTCTCCCTAAAGACATGATCCTGAAAGACACCGAAGGAAAAACCTGGAGGCTGGGCAGTCAGATCGGCCAGGGAGGATTTGGCTTGATCTATTTAGGTAAAAAAGCGGTGGTAATTAAAAGGGTGACTTGTAACTTTCTGAGCTGGATAAAGCAGAAAGGATTTTAAAAGTTACTGTTGTTTACATGCTGGTGGTGATCATTGCTGAAGTGTGGTTTCCTGAGGTTTTTCCCTGCTGTTCCTGTTCCGTCCTTGCTGAAGGAAGTGTGTTCTCCACGGAACTGTCCCGCTCAGTTTCTGGTTATTCTAGTGCGCTGTTCTGTGGATCTTGGGTGGGGCAATCACGGCGCTGCTGTCAAAGAGCGCTGTCAGGTGATGCTTTCAAAAGAAAAAGTTGCTTTTGTTAGGCACTGCTTTGGGCTTAGGCCAGTCTCATTCTCTGTAGCACTCTTTCAGTTTTTGGCTGTTGGAAATGTTGTTTTCTGGCCAAGCAAACATCCAGGGTATGTAACAGGAACAATAGTTAGCTGGGTGTTGCCCCTAAATTCAAACCTTTTCACCAGAGGTGGAAGTGCTGTTCTTTATTTGCTCTGGCCTAGATATGCTTCTGTGTTTTCTTCAGAAGCAGCTGCTGCAGTTCAGTGAGATTGTGCTTTATGAGGAGTGAGTAGTTCTGAAAGGCGGTTTGTAAAGCATTCTGGGTCACTGGAGACTGTATAATGCATATTACTGTTGCTGGGCTCTCTGAAAGAGCAAATCCTGTGTTCAAGGCAATATTATGAGTTTGGCGGTTTGGTTTTTCTTTTTTTCATTGCATACACAAACTAGTCCACAGTGACTGTTCAGGACTTGAACTTGTCAAAATTGAACTTGAAATAAATTGAGCTAGTATTGAGACAGCGGTAAAGAATTACCTAGAAGCAGTTCAGTACGTTGTCCCTGGAGCCAAACACGATCTATTTAAGTTAGAGTAATATTAACTCTATTAGGAATATTAATGCTTAAAACTTCATAAGCAAGTCACTCCTATACACAAACCAACTTCCTTTTATGCATAAATCAGCTATATCCTCTTTGTTTAAGCTTCTCCTTTTTGTGTGTTTCTGCCATGGAAAATACAGTTGTGATTGTTTCCCAGATGCTGCTTGTGAAAAGGGCTTCCCAGTTGTGCTGCTCTTCCAGCTATTAACATGTGGCTGTAAACTACAGGAGGGTGAACCATGGGAGAGTACCTGTGCATCTGGACTGAGGTTGCACCTGGGCTTCAGGTTTGAGTGAAGAAACTTTCTAGGGGGGGAAAAAGGGTTTGGCACTTTGTTCCACCAAATGCTTGTACAAACAGAGCAAAGCAGTTTCAGTAATGACCTAAATTCCACTGCTTCTGCTTTTCCACAGAGTAAACTCAGACACTGAGGAACCTGGAGAAAACTAAGGCTGTGTGTGTGCTTGTGAGTAGTTTGGTGTAAGCAGGGAATGAGGACATGGCAACCGTCAGTGGGTATGGCCCTACAGCTCCCCTTTACTGAAATCCAGGGCTTGTTTTACTTTGGGCTAGATTTGGTGTGGCCTGCTGCACTGAATTGCCTCACCAAGTGCATGGTTTGAGGCTGAAGGAATTGGTTTGAATCCTGATGTCGCTGTCAGTAGTTGGAGCACATCTGAGAGGTTCCTGTAAAGGAGTTTCTGGTTTGGTTTCCTCTGGAATTCCTGTAGGTCACACACATCTCACTGCTCTGCAGATGGAACCAGTGGGAACCATGGGGGTTTCAGCTAAGTGCAGATACAGAGGAGTCAAAAGATAGGGCACTGTTAGAATATTTACATTCTTTTTCCTTTTGGTGTCTGTTATCTTGTTATGACCTTCTTTGAAACATTAGTTGGTTACATTTGAGAGGTGCTGTGCATAGAGCATATATTAGATGTAACCATAGAAAATAGGCCTTAGCATGAGATAATAAGTGAAGTTAAAGTGTCTCTGGATATTGCCATTCAAGGATAAAGGAAAGGAAGTTGGAAACTTGCAGAAGTCTCCCACAGAAGGGTCTGAGGGAACTGGGGGTGCAGTGCAGAAAGCAAGGTCAAAGTGAGTGTAGTTCTCCAAGAGTAATAAACCAAAAAACATGATGTTCCTGAATCACTTGGGATACAGCTCTGTCATTTTCTGCTGGAGTCAGGTCACACTGGACCTTGTGGGTGGTTTAGCACGTGAGATTCAGCCAGTTCCATGTAGATTTGATGAGTTTTCTGCCTGATCCCACAGACCACTGAGGTGATTTCATGTATTGTGGTGTGCGTTGCAGTTTGGCTCCCACTGAACTGAGGTGGAAAGCAGTCAGTGGATTAGTTCAGAAGGAGAATCCAGCCTGGGACCCTGGTGTTCTGTGTGTTTTCAGAAGTGACAGAATGGCTGAGGAAATGCAGCTGCCACTCTTGTAATGGTGTTTGTGTTCGTTTAATCTCTTCTGTCAGTAGGGACAGTGAATGTTACCTGTAGCATTACCTGAAGGCTCAGTTCCCCTTGTAGCTCATCCTACAATTAAAGAGGAAATGGACAACATTTTATCCATAAGTATTGACACTGATTGAAGTTGTCTTTCTTTGTCCACCTCTTGATATCTGATATGTGTTTATATCATATAAATCATACCATTCAGTAGCTTTTGGGGGCTTGATGCTGCAAAACAGTTCAGCTGTCTTTGACAGCCAAGGGATGTGAAGTAGATGACAAACCTTTAAGAGTAAGATAGGGATGCTTGGTGCTGAGAGACACCTCCTCTGTGCTGTTCAGACTA